ATAACTAACATGCCCATATTTGAGAAAGATGTTCAACAAAACAATTCCAACCTCTGACTGGTACTTGATCATCTTCGAGGAAAAGGCTTGACGCTAACTCTTAAGACCTCACACACACGATAACTACCGATGGCATGACGACCACAGAAGACCAAACAAGGCAAGTGAGGACCCAGCTAACGTCGAATAATCAAACTAAACTCCACAGCTTCCTGGGGTTGGCCAACTATCTTCGGCGTTTCGTCAATGGTTTTGTCAAGATCGCTGGCCTGTTGCACAATTTGACAGAGGAGCAGGTGAGAAAGAAGTTCCAATGGAAAACTGAATACACAGAAGCATTAAAGGGGCTAAAACGAGCTTTTTGCGCGACGCCGATTCTAGCTTTGGTCAGCCTTTAGGCTAACGCTTTGCTTTCGTGCTGGATACAGATGCAAGTGATGTAGCGGTGGGCGAAGTTCTTTCCCAAAAACAAAGACAGAGTTGAACATGTCATTGCTCACACCAGTTCATGCTTAAATAAGAAAATGAAACAGAAGAGCGTAACAGAACGGAAATTGTTTGCCGTCTATACAACGTTCAAGTATTTTAAACAGTTGATGAGCAAACAGTTCGTAGTGCGGACAGACCACCAAACCCTAAAACGGTTGAAGACAATGGAGACCGACCGCTCAGTAGCTAAGGTGGTACAAAGAATTACAACAAGATGATCTCCCTCTGTCGGTAGAGATAGCGTTACAGTGGGTACATTGCTGCTGAGCGAGCCTACCACAAACCACTGGAGAAACAGACAGGGCTTCGACCCTGAATCAGCTCTGTTGTACGAAAGACTATGGACATCCGCGGCCAAGCCTACAGTCGAAGATATGAGGGTGGCGAGCAAGACAAGCAAACAATATGGTAGGATTAAGAGAGAATCTCCTCAGAGGACAAAGACAATTAAGCAAGCCCCAAGCGCCTTGCAGTGCCAAACTCGCTAACTCAGACAGTTCTACCGGAGCCACATAAGCAAATGTGTCACGTGGGAGAAAGGAGGATGACTGAGCCACAAAGGAGAGGTATTGGTGACCCTCGCTGATATCGAATATCTTCGGTTACTACAACACATGCACCGCTTATATCAGCTTCAAGAATCCACATTGCACCGTAATCGTACCTCTTCGACTCATACCCATGGATTTCCCAGGGAAAAAGTAGACATGGATATCATTGACCCACTCCAAACAACTGACAGAATTGTTGCGTTTTGGTGATGGTGGACTACTTTACCAAGATCGCTTAAGGTGAAACACTACAGGCGCAGGACGCTGAGGCAGTGATAATCAATTTCAATTTTCAATTGTTGGATCTGTCGAAAGTGTCCCTAAACCTACACACAGTGACCAATGTTCTGATTTCCAAAGCTGACTCCTTATGGAATTATGCAACACGCACAATGCCCGGACACGTCCAGGGTAGACATCTTGAAGATCTCTGATAAAAGCGTACAAGATAAGGATTGGAATCCGCACTTGGGACGTGCTCTTCTTGCATAATAGACTACCGCCCATTCCTTGGCAGGAGTTGCACCTTGTAAGATGCTCACAGATCGTGAAATGAGGTTTCCTAATTTCTCCTATCGCCCTGTGCCTTGTAGAGATATCTAACAAGCCTTCATTTGGAATGATCCCTCAATTATAAGGACCGAGGTTAAGGGCCAAGAGAGTAGGATGTAATACCACAACAGGAGTACCAAAACTGCGCCTTACCCATGTCAATGGAGAAAGCGTAATCCGCTTCGGGAATGCGTTTCCCAAGGCGCCGACAATCATGGAGCCACTGGGGCACCACCACCTTTACATGGGATGCCTCCAAGGCGCTTCGAACATCTGGATCTAGGCGACTCGAAGGTGGTTGGCCTGCAGCCGCCTCGACTCCTGGCATCGGAGATGCGGCAGGCAGAATACAATTGTTCGGACAAGCAAGCATGTGGGTACAGACCTACGGGTCGGAGGAAAGTCACTGTAGTCTGAGAGTGCCCAGATGAGCACGAGCATCTCACAATGCACCATTAGCAAACAAAATATTCCAAGATCCGAAAAGACTTACATGTTTGTAGAAATCCATCTATCGATATGTTGGAGAGGAAAGAGAAATGGAAACGAAATCTCCAGACTACAAGATGATGTCGCAGTTGTTTGAACGCATGGCACGTACCTTTACTTTTATGTATTTATTTAGTTATTGCTGAAATTCATTATTAATCTACCGCTCTGTATCAGTAACAGTTGGTCATTCCTTGGTTTAGCCGCCAAACCCATTTTAACGTCACACTGACTTTATTTCGAACCAATAGCTGCAAAAAAAGCAGCACAACATGATATAGAGTAGCTCAGCCACAAGAATCCAACAAAAGCCAAAAAACCAACACCCACTCCGAACCCCCGAGAACATGAGGCAATCGTTAGAACACAATTTACGACTATCATTAAGTAACCGAGCATTTAATGCTCGATACCTATAGTTGTTAAATTAATCAATAAGAACCAGTAAAAAACCAAATTCCTCTTTCACTTTCAAACGACACTTTCCAAACGCAGGTTATGCTACAGGGCCTTAAAAAAGTAACACTGACAGTTAAAACAATTCATGAGAACTAATGCTCTGATTTGCAACTGTGCCGTCTAAAGTAACTTACTCGAGGAATCTGCTTAATATGGAGGCAGCCGACAGTAATAAGTTGAAGGCTGTAGTCCACGCAAGCTCATTTCAGACAGACTTATCAACAAGGCTTCGAAGAACGGAATCTATTGCACAGCATTTTAGATACATTAGAAACCCAACCAAAAATGCTAGAGAATGAGCACACCATTGTGATCCAAACCAAGTCTTTTACCATATGAAGAGAGAATGAACACTGAGTTTGGTAGTCATTCAGCAGGTTATATGAACCATTTACAACTTCCAAAGCGTCTAAACTAGAAGGCATTTCAACATAGGCAGAATTAGAAAGAACAGCGGAAACTGGGTCAATCAAACCAATAACTAATGCCCGCTCACTGTGCATATAAGACTAATGGCTCCCCTATGAAGTGCGGATATTCGAACGCTAGTATGAGCAATATGAAATTTGACAGTCTAAATCATACACAACTCGATAATGCGGCAACATGCCTACTGAACGAACCTTGGCATCAAAATTCCACCTGAAATCGCCACCCAACTGCTTAACGAGTTCATTTAGCGCGACTTGGCGATCACTGAGAGATTTCGCAACACAAATAACTACACCCTCGAGGACTCCACCACTCTGCGCCGCCTCCTTGAAGTCTACAAGAGTAGATCAGTCAGACAATTCGCTGAAAAACAAGGCTCAACCTTCTGTCACAACACTATTACCCGTCTCTGCGAGATTTCTCTTCGGCAGCATGCTTGTTTTCGAGAGAACAGTTTTCAGACACCGCGTTACTTGCTCCGACATCGGTGGGGAGACATGTAGTATATCTAAAGACCCCGACGATGGAGTCCGCATCTGATCGCCGGCTCCCACCCACCTTGGCGTCTTTAACTGCTGTCCTTTAATCGACTGGAGCGTCGAGTTTGGAGTCACCTTGTCGATGAAGGAGAGTGACCGGCCGACCTTAGACCAATCCCTTGGTACCATTGGATCCTCCTCTAAAACTGGATGTTCCGTCTCTGCTGCACGCCGCCCTGTAGTAGCACAGGCGTACAGCCAACTGCATGAGACGGCAGGTAAACCCCATTGCTTCGACGCAGGCCACTTCCGTCCATCGGGTCGGGCTGCTACAAGATGAGTGTTCGCTATGAGATCCTTTGAAGGAACGGCTTTACGAAGGAAGCACTCCTGCACCACGGCACCAAGTCCGCGAGCTAGGTCGGTGAGAAAAGCGCGATCATTGCCGGCGAAACCGCTGAGAGATATTACGCATCCGGCCAAGGGTAGAGTGACGGAGGCGGGAATATGGATAGGACGGAAACCAACCTGAGTGTCAAGTTCGGAAATGAGGAGAGTTTTGGCGGTGACACAGCAGTTAATCCAATAAGGAGTTATCATGTTAGAAGTGGTTGGCTGACGCAGAATGTATGAGCAGATGATGTAGTCTGCAACCACTGATGAATCGTTAACAACACTACCACCTTCATCTGTGATAGCTTCGGAAAGGAAGGGATGTGCGGTAAGTGAAAAATTGATGTCGAGCTTGAAAATAAGATGAGAAAATAGACCGGCATCTGGTGGGATAACTTCCTGTTGGCCATGTATTTCTGATTGTTTAAGTGTGACCAATTTTGTCTCCTCAGCATCAGCTTGAAATGCCTGATCTTCAAGATTGTTGTCAACAGAGCGAAAGTCGTCCATATCACAAAGTTCATCGTTTTTGAAGTATTGATTGATTAACTGAATTTCTTCAGTGTCTACTGGAACACCAGAATGTTTGTCGTCAGAGCTTTGATCCGATGACTCGCTTTTATCACGTAAAGGGGGCTGGAAGTCTTTCTCGGGGAGACGTTTATTTTGTTCGAAAGACTGTTCAAGCCAATCACGAGTTACGTAAAATACTTCAGTTTCCAGATCGGAGGACGAAATGGGCTTAGAATTGGTTCCAAAAACGACGTGCGTCACAGAACCAGTGACCTTCTCAGAGGCGTCGATACACAAAATACCACCACTGATTTCAATGATTTTGGCAAGCTTTTCAGACTCAGAAGGATCGCATCCGTAGAGGAAAATAATACAACCCGTAAGGAATGATTTTTTGGATGACTTAGAAGGAAAAGCGCCGTTTGTAAGATCTTTCAGACAACTGAAACGTGTCTCATCCAGTTCGACATTTGGATCGGCAATGGAAGAAAGATCACCTAAAACACTGGGATCGCTGACGTAAATCGACGAGGTGGGTGTGGAAGAGTGGCATTTTGGATGTTCTTCTTTGCCTTCCCGAATGTAGTAGTCAGTTTCTTCTAAGGCGTAGCCCTTCCGAATGGAATCTGATAGCCAGCGCACAGAAACAACCCGAACTTTCCATTTCTTTGCGAAATTGTATTTCAAACCACCAGCACGCTTGACAAGGAGATGGGTTGTCAAACCAATTTTCATCTCGCCTGAATACACTCCACCATTGTTTTTAACAATATCGGCCACCTCCCTTCTTTCCTCAGGTGTAAGTCCGGATACACAGATGACCAGTTGAGCAAATATGGGCAGCTTGAACCTTGACAGCAGACTGCACTGTAACATGTCAATAGGATCCACAGTTTCTGAAAGCTTCCAAGCTTCGTCGATCCACTCCGGTGTTAGGATATGAAGACCACGACTTGCTCCAACAACGTACTTTTTTGAACCGACTTTAGGAGCGATGACCACATTTACTTCGTCAGTTAAATTCCTAGAGGCGACTCCATGAAGCATTTCGATAGACGAAAAAAGGCGCTCCCGTTGTTGACCAGTAATCGAAGTGACAGTGACGTTCGCATTCCGCAAAGCGGTTGAAAAAAGCGGATGGGAAACGTTGGGAAGAGGTCTCTCTTCACGCAGATAGTTCAGCAAAACCTGTGGGCCAAACACGGAGGAGCGCAAATCTCTGAAGTGTTCGTACACTGTTCCGACAAATTTCCCCAATACAAAACAACAATTGTTTGGAGACGAATCCTTGAATCTTTCAATTGCATCTTCTCCATCTATCCAAACTGGCCGAAGATTTTCGTAACTAGTAACAGCATCGAATGCCAAATTTTGAAGAGGGGTGACAGCGTCCCTAATGAAATACAAATGATAGAACCCCGAAGACATTAGAGCAAACGAAAGCAAAAAATACATAAACCGCGGTTTGTTCAATTTCATTAATTTAACCTTAATAGTATTCATTTAAACATATTTTCCAAATATTAAATAGTATCAAAAATTTATGATTTATAACGGATCAAAGGCGGTTTACAAATTCAGCGTTTAGCAGGTGTCCAAAATTGAGCTTTGAAACGCTTTGTGCCAAACATAATATGACCTTGTTTATTATAAGAATTTTAAGGTCTTCTTCTGCTCTTAAGGCTCCTCACAAATTACCATTATTATGTGATTTCTCGGGAAGATCTGAATACAGGAGCGAAATGATGGCCAGGTATGAGGCGCATGCGTTCAGCGAACAGAACAGAATTGTAACTGACCGCATTTGTAACCATTAGTCAAAAATGTAAAGCACTATATGAGTGTCCTTTGAAGGCCTTTTGGAACTTGGTATCAAGGTCTCGTGCTAAATGTGAATGTCATTTGCATCAAAACTGATAAGAATAACTCTTACGCAATGGGTATTAGGCGTGATGCGGGGATGCAATATTTATCTTAATAAGGAAAGTGTAATTCGTTGTTTATTTAATCACCCATTGTCTGTCGATTACTCTGCTAATCGCCTTGCCTTTGTACGCATTGGCCGGCTTTTGAGATAAGCTCAAGTCCAATCCCTTCTTGCCCCACAAAAATCATATATCTGGTTTAATTCAGTGCCCTTTCACTGAATGACAAATCTCTGGGGGTTTTGACAGGCCCTATAGACCAGTTCGCCCAACAGAATCCGAATAACTGTTAAAGTGGCCGCCGTCCTATTTAGAATTTAGTGTCCTGCTTAAATCTACAATTATAAACATGTCACGAAGAAATTAATCTGTTGACACTGAGTAGCGGTAACAAGGGGGATGCGAAAGAGAGTATCGTTACAGCTGCGAAAAATAATACGGTATAATTATTGGAATGCAGATCCCTTGTAGGTGAGTCGGTTCACCGGAATCATTTAGACCTCAGTCTACCCTCCCACTTCTCTTAAGCATTAGGGCTCAGTTGTACCCTCAATTCACACTGATTTGCTCCCGATGTCCCAAGTTCGGACTGAACCCTGCGGTATCAATAGGTCCGGGTTCTTCTGGGTCACTTTATTCGATGCTTTCCATTGAAATTTATAGACATTTTGTAGCTATGTTATCTATGCTATTTGCATGCCTTATAAGTCACTATGACTGTATTGCTTCGTTTATGTGACCATCTGATGCCAGGGCGTTGCTCTTAACATTGCTCTGGACCGTGTAACTATAGACTGGCTTCTGGGCTGCGCCAGGACTCTAACCCTTCTTGTC